GCATCCGGCACGGTGGGCACGGCTCCCATGAGCTGGGCTCGTTGGTTCTGGTCATGTGCATACGAGGCGTACTCCTCGACGGTGATGTCTGCAAACTCGGCAGCCACAACATCTCCCTGAAGGACTGCTTCGCAAATAGCCCAGAAGGTCGCAAGCACCATCGGTCCGAGTCCGGTGCTCTGCTGCTCGTAGCCGATCCAGAGTTTCTCGGCCTGCGGGCAAGCTGCGAAGCTCCGCTTCAGATGGCCAGCGCATGGTAGACTCATGGCTATATGGCTATATGATTGAATATGGTTGACTATACGTGGCTGCTCTTTGGTAGAACTCATGATGATCAGGGCGCATCTGAAAATCTCTCTATCTTTAGATCCTCTTTTGCTTGTCCGAAAAGTTTGCCTACGCCAAAGCACCTGTTTACCCACATCGCTTAGGCCTGCAAGACCAGTGCTCACACCTCCCGAAAAGTGGGCAAAGAGGCAAAGTGCAATGGTGATCGCCGAAGCAGAAGGTACAGTATTGCACATAATTTACGATCCGTGGCGATCTCTGTATCTGTTCTGTATCTAACTTTCCCTGGGTCTCTTTGTCTACGTTCGCTGGCCTGGAGGCTGGACACGTTCTCGCCGCAGGCCCGCGTTAAAGCCTCCACGAAGGACTGCTGGTCTAGGCCGTCCTCACCGGCCACCCGCTGGAACTCCATAGCCCACTCTCGTCGCTGGCCTTTCACGGCTCGGACAGCGGCTGCAAAGTCCATTTTCTTTCCCTGGTGCCATTGCTGTCTGAGCCGGCGGAGGGAACGCTGGAGTGTCACGGCGCTCTTCTCGAGCAAGTCTTTCTTCTGTCTGGCCTGCCTCCCTCGGGCGACTGCCTGAACCTTTGTGGAGGCGGCATTCATGCGCTCCTCGGCCTTTCTCGTCGCATCCTCGATGCGCCTCTTCGAGGCTCGGATGGCGGCGATGTCTTGCTGCGCCTCGGCCAAGGCATCCGGCACGGTGGGCACGGCTCCGATGAGCTGCGCTCGTTGGATACCTTTCCGAAGCACATGATGCACCACGAAACGGGTGGCCTCGAAGATCTCGGAGTTTGGGTCTCGGATCGGGGCTTCTTCCATCACTTCCAAGCGCTGGGCGGCGAGAGTGTACAGGTTCCGCATGAACTCCCAGGGCACTTTCTCACGAGGGGAGGTTAGCCCGCGGTCTTTTTCTGGGATCTTGTCGGAAATTCTTGCAGTTGCTGGTACCGGAGTCTTGCCACCTTGCGCCAAAATCTTCTGCCGAGCCTCTTCGAATTCATCTCGGGTGATGACCCCATCACCGTTGAGGTCAAAGTGCTCGAAGCGGAAGGCGTCCAAAGAAAGCTCTAATGGCCGCGGCGGCTCAGGAAGCTTCGCAAGGGCCTTCTCAACGATGCCATCAATCTTGCTTTCTAGCTTTTGCCACACTCTCTTCTCCAATTCAACACCAAGTCGGCTGATTACCTGGATGGCAGGCAAACATGTGCAGAAAACTCAGCGACCTGCATTGTGAAAGCTGGGGGTCAAAAAACGTAAGCGACATCGTGCTACATCCGACAACGACCAAGCCACCGCACCGCTGTCGGTCTTCGGCCTCTTCGTCGCCTGTACCTCTTCCATGAAGTTGCCGATCGACTCCTTCAGCTGCAAGACGGAGTTACATACAGCGTCGACCTCTTCCCGCATGTTCTGCTTCACCTCAGCCCGTCTGCATCCCAAGGGCTGCCATAGTTACTGCACGTTACCGCATAGCATCATGAAACAATCTGCTGAGGCTTTGGCCTCCCAACTGAGGATTCGCCTGGCTGCGGAAATCTCCTCAACAAGGACGCTTAAGACTTATCTACTTGTTGGGTTCGAAAATGCTTCAGAAGCGGCTGACTCGCTGGCACCTGTGATGATTGTGAAATCCCCGACTCCTACACTTTTCCGCAACCTCTGCACGAGAATCGGCGTCAAGTCGAGCCCAGCTTCCGGCTAGTAATGTAGAGGCCATATAATGATTAGAAGAGGGCTTTGGGGGATAGTGTACTATACTCATAAGGACACCCCACCAAAAAAACAAATACATTATTTCAATCCCACGAGATTGACCTCCAGGCCCTCGTCTCACGCCTACCAGTCTGCTTCCCTCCAGAATGTTTAAAACCTGACGTGACCGACGTGACCGAACTCCAAGCATGTAACCCAATTGCTCCTCCGGAGCAAGGCAAAGGTTCGCGGCTCTTGGAATGAGCGATCCTTAGGGGCTGAGTACTCTAGCCCAAAAAAGGTTAACCTTTTAAATTATAGTAGGATTATAAGAGCCCCAAAAGGTTAACCTTTTAAACTATAGTAGGATTCTAAGAGCCCCAAAAGGTTAAACCCTAAACCCTAAACCCTAAACCCTAAACCCTAGGTTACCTACTCAGCCACCAAGGATCGAATAGCGTCCACGTCATGGTCTTCCATGGCCTGGGCCAGCTCAAGCTGGACGCTGGCCTGTCACACCGACACAGCCTAACCCCCCAGGTACCTCCTATATAGGGTTTAGGGTTTAGGGTTTAGGGTTTAGGGTTTAGGGTTTAGGGTTTAGGGTTTAGGGGGGGTTAGGGATACTATATAGGGTACTGGAGCCGCTAATGCCCTATATAGTAGGTACCTGGAGGGTTAGGGACACCCAAACGAAGTGCTGGGCAATTTTGCGGAGGCTGACTCGGTAAGTGTCTCAGGTGCTTGGAAGGATGACCTACTTGCCTCTTCGGGACGAGAGTGCTGACAGCCTATATCCCCCTCCCTTGTCCCAACATGTGCGGGCAGGTGGAAATGCCCTTTGGGGGAATGACAAATTCAACATGCACATCGTCAGGCTTTCTCTGCATCGGCTGCTGCCTTCTCCACCTCCCGCGTCTTGTCTCCTTCCTCCATTTTGCTGATGCGTCTGGGAGGCGGAGTGGCACCAGACTGCGGAATTGCTAACCTTAGCAGCCAAGCCAAGCAAGCACGGAGTTGTGAGGAGCTCTCGAGATGCTTTGGCGGAAACGTGGCAGAACTGACGAAGCTTCACAGACAGCCTGTTCTGTCAAGGTTTACAGTAGAGGGTCTTAAACATACTAGAAGTATTCACATACATGTATGACAAATATACATGCATGAGCCAGTACTTCTGTCTATATGTGCACGAAGCGACCGGAGGGTCTTGCAATCATGAAGGTCCGATTGTATTTGCATATTCTCAGTGCACAGGCACATGCATGTACAGTGTTGTGCAACTGCAGGTATACGCGTTGTATGTATCAAAGGGCACATGCATGAAGACACAGCATGACCCAACGCAGACAGATACGGATATGTGCACATGTGCATATGTGTATAGCATGTGTAACTGCATTTTCGTCAAGCATAAGCACAAGCATAAGCAAGCAAGCAAGCAAGCAAGCAAGCAAGCAAGCAAGCAAGCAAGCAAGCAAGCAAGCAAGCAAGCAAGCAAGCAAGCAAGCAAGAGCAAACAAGTAAACAGAAAAGCAAGTACTTATATGCGCAAGCAGATAAGTAAGCAAGTGAATGAGTGAGCGGCTGAGCAAGTGAACAAAGTGAGTGAGTAAATAAAAGTAACTAAGCCAATACTTAAGCGCACATGCAGATAAGTAAGCAGGTAAGTGAGTGAGTGGGTGAGCAAGTCAAGAAAAGTGAGTGAGTAGGTTAGCATGTAAGTAAGTAGGTAGGCAGGTAGGGAGGTAGGTAGGTAGGTAGGTAGGTAGGTAGGTAGGTAAGTAGGTAGGTAGGTAGGTAGGTAGGTAGGTAGGTAGGTAGGTAGGTAGGTAGGGATGTAGGTAGGTAGGTAGGTAGGTAGGTAGGTAGGTAGGTAGGTAGGTAGGTGGGTGGGTGGGTGGGTGGGTAGGTAGGTAGGTAGGTAGTTAGGTAGGTAGGTAGGTAGGTAGGTAGGTAGGTAGGTAGGTAGGTAGGTAGGTAGGTGAGTCAAAAAAATGAAGAAAGTATGAGTGAGTGCCTGCATACGCGCATGTATGCGTGAGTGAGACCAAGTAAATAAATGATGAGTTAAGAGTGGATAAATATGCGAGTATGCAAACATGTCAAGGTCAATGAGTAAGTATGTTTAAGTAATAAGTATAACTATATACATGTAAGGCACACAAGCAAGTACGTCAGCACCACCGTGTGCAAGTGAGTAAGTAGGTAAGCAAGTAAGTGTAAGCAAGCAAGAAAGCAAACAAGCAAGCAAGTAGCCAAGTAAGCCAGCCAGAGAGCCAGCAAGCAAGCAAGCAAGCAAGCAAGCAAGCAAGCAAGCAAACGATCGAGCAAGAAGCAAGCGAGCAAGCAAGCAGAAGTAGACAAAAGATACATGTAGAAGGAAGTGCGTGTAACTAAGCAAGAAGGAACGATCAGAATAAACAGGTGTAACTACATAAGTATAATGAATTAAGCGCTTAACAGGTCTGCAAAACACACATATGCACACGTGTAAGATTGCGTGGGCATGTACATGCAAATATCTATGTGCGTCTGCTGCATGTCTGAGCAGCATGTCATTATGTGTATTGCTACTAGCACATCCGTTTGATTACATGTCAACACCTGCACCTGCTCATAGACGAAACGAGCCACAGACCCTGATTAAGAACATGCTTCTGTTCGGAAAAGCCGAGCAACAAGGCCGGCTGGACAGGCTCCTTTGGGACGGATGCTGCCGGCGGCAGTGGATCTTTCTGGGATGGAGGTTCTGTTGCCTGAGGTGTCTGCAAACTGATCTCCGGCACCGGTTGCGAGATCTTGGTGACTGCCGTCGGCCTGACAAAAAGGCCATGTTCTGGCTTGCAGTCGAAGTAGGTCTTGCCCTTGACACTACCATTGTTCTTGCCCTGCTTTTCGTCCAGCTCAATGCCCATCCACTCGCCAGCGGCAAACTCTGTGGTGCCGATGAACTTCACAGTGCCGCATAGCTGTGTTTGAGCGACTGTCACCCGGTCGCCGAGGCGGAATTGCCGAGCCATGGCTGGCTTCGGTAACTCCCTAGCAGCCCCAATGATGTCAGCTCTGCTTCACATCTTATATCCTGACTGGGACTGGAGGTAATGTACATGTACATGTATGCATGAAGTGACCTGCCTATGGCAGGGCCCATGCTGCAAACCGCGGCGCAACAGCGGCAGTTGCTGAGCATGCATGTGTACAGAAGCCCTAGCGATGCAGTCCTGAAGCCTTCAACTCCAGTCTCCTCTGCCGTGCTGACATGGCTTGGACACGGAGTCGCAGGTCCCTATCCTGAATGGATCCCGTCCTAGACCCTAAACCATTGTTTAACCCCTAAACCCCCGAAACCCAAAAACACCAAGACCTAAACCTTACATCCTCAACCCCTACGAAGCCCTAAAGTCACTCCCTCTGAGCCCCTGCAAATTCAGCTTGGTGGCGAAGCTGAGGCCCTGTGATCTTCCTTGGTGCCGAGATCTCTTCAGGGCTGCCATAAGGTATGTGTATACATGTATGTCTATGTATGTATATATATATATATATATATATGTGTGTGTGTGTGTGTGTATATATATATAGAGATAGATTGAGACGATACAGAGAGAGAGAGATAGATATAGATACAGATATAGATGCAGACATATATACAGATACAGATACAGATATAGCCTCGCCTTCTGTAGATACGGATATACGTATACACGGTATAGATACAGGTATAGAAATTTTAGATACTATAAGGTCTCTAGAGTCCTGGAGCTTCAGGTTTGGACTTCAAGGGCTTAGGGCTAAGAGTTTCAGGCTTAGTCTGGGCTTCGGATGCTTCGGATTAGGGGTGTGGACTCGCGCGGTGGCACAGGCTGGCACAGGAAAGTCCAACGGGCGTTTAGGGTCTGCCGTTATAGGGTTTTAGGGTTTGGGGTTTGGGGCTTCAGGGGGCTTGGGTTCGGGGTGAAGTTTCGGAGCCAACTAGTAGTTAACAGTGTCGATTTTCCCGCCCGCCACAGGCAAGCAAGTGATTGCTGTAAAGATGCCTGTGTTTGTTGACGACGACAATGACAAGTCTCAATCTCATTGCAATGTGTTTCATCAGAATGATTTACATCATGACTGTAACCTGTGCTGGTGTTGCCAAACTATACGGGCAAAACCCGTAGTGCAACTCAGAAGAAGCCGAATGGTATGCTCGAAAACCTTGCTATATGTTGGCTTGGTCTTCGTTGAATTTTGCAGACAATACCACTGTTGATAGACGTGCTCTAGTTTTCTTTATAACGTAACTTTATATAGCGTTACAAGCCTGCAGAGGTGCTCGGAAAACCTGAGCAAGCGTAATGCATGTGTAACTTGACCCCGATGCACAGTCACCCACATATCCCATGCGTGCACACAGGCATCCGCGGCGTGTGTGCGTGTGTGCGCATGTGCATCTGGCCAAGCATCGTAACCTCTCCGGGCCGTAGAGGACCCTTTGCCGCCACAGAAGCCTCCTCATGAAACGAGCTGCCTAGCATAGTATACTGAATACTCAATTTGCACACAAGAAATGTTAAAAAATACGAGTACGGTTACATTGACCGCAGATCGCAGACTTACTGTCTTAAGCTTAGAAGCACAATGGACCTTCATTACTTCATTCTTTCATATGAACCAGTAAATCACAAATAAACATACATACATATATATATATATGTCCGAGGTGGACCATGGTTCGCCTTTCTTTTGGGGGGCTTAGGACGCTGCAGTGTGACTGCGCAGGTCTTCCAAAAAACACAAGCTAGACGCTTCTGGTCCTATTCCCCGGCCTGTAGGGTTTGCAGCTAAACTTTCAATTCCAACCGGAAGATATGAAATTCACTAAAGCTCACACAGCCAGAAACCTGCTCAGTCTGAACAAGCACATGGGGGCAGCGCATGTCTCGGGAGTCCACGCCTAAGTCCCATAATTCCGAAACCCTTCGAGTCTAACCTCGGCCCCACAGCCTGGAATCCTGAGGAACGAACACTGCTTACTGCGCCTAGACATGTCTGAATCGTGAACCCCTTCTACTTGAAGAACCAGGGGTCAGGCCTCAGAGTTTGAGGGGTCTGGGGTTTGGCAGGTTTGTGGCTCAGGATTTAGGGTTTAGCGCCCCAGCTACCCTCCACTACTGCAGTCCTCCGCGAGCACTTTAGCCAGTCTCTCTACAAGGTCTTCCTGTCCGGCATTGCTTTCTGGCTTCGCCGCACAAATCCAAGATCTTGATGTTTTAGGGCTTCTGCTGTAGCTGTTTGTTAAGCCTGTAAGGCTTGTAGAAAGTCTGGGGGCAGGGCTGGCCAATAGACAAGAAGACTGGACGGCTGGCACTGGCACTGGTGTCACCGTACGAGTCATAGTCCTCACTATGTATGTATGTGTACATATAATATATATATATATATATATTTATTTATTTTATTTATCTATTGAATATAGAATACATGCGACAACAGTAAAGGCATCTTGCTGTGTCAGCCAGAGGAAACGGGACTAGGGTGGTCATCGCCGTGGCAACACTTCAAGGTGACGTGGCAGCCATGCAAGCAGGAATTGCAAAGATGCTAAGATGCTCCTGCTACTGCTGCTGCTGGTAATGCAGCTGCCTCTGTGGTGCGGCTGCAGGTTGAAGTGATGCCGCTACAGCTGCTGAGGCTTTTGCTGTTGCTGCTGGCTGCTGTTGCCAAAATGCGGAACCGGAAAATACCGGTGAATGAAAGACGAGGGCAGTTGCTTGCAAGAGGCCAATGTCGCACCTGGTGTCGTTATGTTGGGTGCTCGCCATTCTCATCCGTCAGGTCAAGCGTCTTATGTCAAGCAAGTATACTGTTCTTTCACGGCAGGACTTTCGAGCGTCTATGTCTTTACGTCCCGCTCAAGCTATGCCAACGGCGAGAAATTCAGTGACATAGAGCACAACAGAAGATACAGCAAGAGCATCAGGTCGCACTTCGGCAGACAAATGGTATGATAAGGCCTTGTCCAAGGCGTCTGCCCACTTGATATTTCGCGTTCCCAGCTCCTCAGTCTCATGAGGTCCCAGCTTCGAAAATCCGAGCTTCCGCATCTCTACAGCTTGCTCAATGGTTCCTATTTGAGATGTGGGTGTCATCTTGTGCAAACTCCGTCTCCGAACTGTCTCCGATCACTTTCCTGTGCCCCAAGGCTTTTCAGCCACACCTTGCGCAAGCCGCGACATCTACGTCCCACCCTCTCGACTGTGGCTCTTCCAAGTGCAGACCATGGGCGGTGCGGAGCGCTTTCACGGTCATGGCGCGGCACTGCGCCAAGAAGTCCTCCGGTGACTTCTCCTCTTCCGTGCTTTCCTGTGTGGGAGCGCTGCAACGTATGGGTTTGAGACTTCCATCCCACTCTGAACTACAGTGTCCCGACCTGCGTTGCCATACTCTGATTGTAGTAGTATACCAGTAGAACGTACACTTCGCCCCACACTAAACCTACTGGATAAGCCGTCGCTGATCCCGGGCTGTCACGTCTCGGAGGTCCCGAATTCCACACCCTGGAGCATCCACTCTAAGGTCTTAAGTATAGTGCTGTAGTTCTTGTTACATCTCCACTTCACGGCAAATCACACCCCTAAGAAACCTGAAACCAGACATTGCCCAACACCCCGGCAACCCTAAACTCGGTACACCCTAAGTGCCTTAAACCTGAAGCTACGCTTACAGCCTCCGCCACGCCAGCTTCGGAGTTGGCGGGCGAGGGGGCTGGAGCACCTCAGCGCAACATCGATCAACTGCTGTGGGGCCTTTCGCCTCATGAAGAGCCTTCTGGTACTGATAGAAAGGATGATAATCGTCATATAGAAACCTGTTCATCCTGTGGTTAAACCGACCTTCATATTATGCATAGTGGGTTGAGGCTAAGTGTTGGTGCATTTCAAACTAAATTTATATGTGTACTTCTGTATCGACTCTCGCTCTCTGTCTTAGAGTCTATAGGGGTTAGCACAGCATCCCAGACGCACGATTGCAAGAGCGGGTGTGTACTAGGAAGTGTCAGATGTGTTCCTTTACCGAACGTTACCTTCCCTTGCCCCAGCTCTCTCATGACTGCAGGAACTGCAAGAGGTAGAGGCTGCAGCAACGTAGGACTGCGGGCGGCTGCAACAACCACAGGAGTGTAGGAGTGCAGCAGCAACCACAGCAATGTAGGAATGCAGGGCCCTTTTTTGTTTTAACGTTTTTGCCAGAGACTTTGCCAATATTAAGAGGGGCGTGAAAAAACGGATAGAGCGATCAACCTCAGTAGCACTTATCATGCCCAAATTTATAATCGTGGTAGCAGGTATCCCAGAAATCTGCCGGCCAGGCGTCCATCACTGGTGCCACTTTGAAGCTCGAAGAGGCCTAAGGTGACTCTGCAGGGTGCCGGAACCCACGGCTACCACAAGGACATGAGAATGCCCACGAAAGCTACAAAACCGTAGCCGAAATCTTATAGCTCCAGCAAGCGGAATTGTAGTCAGAAGGCGCTTGGCGAGGTCCTCCTTATCGAAAAGGTCCGAAGTGTCCACGCCACTGTCCGAAAGCTCAGCCTTGATCTCTCTTGCTCGCATTCCTGCCGCAAAGGTTAACTGCCCTATATGGTTTAGGTTTTAGGGTTTAGGGTTTAGGGTTTAGGGTTTAGGGTTTATGGCCTTGTTGATCACCACATCGTATAGCAGCCCACTAGTTACGAGTAGTGCATGCACACGACCATACATGAATGGGCTTCCAGAAGCACGAACTGTACCACGAATGATAAGTGATGCATTCGAAGAGAAGCCGCTCCCAACCCTCAACGAACCCCAACCCTGGCCGGCTATGCAACCCTCACCCCCTCTTCAGGCAACGAACCCTAAACCCTAAACTGCTTGTCCTGAAACCCTGTGCTCCATGCTAGGCCAAACGTCCTTCGATCTTCGCCCGAAGCTCGTCGTCAGCAGTTGCCGATCGGCTTGAAATCAAAGCCCTCCCCAAAGACAAGGGATGCTTCAATTTTCGCGCT